AAGAATGGCTGCGCAGAGAACATCTAAGCCACTGGAGAGTGGAATCTGAGTCCAAATGTAGACAGGCTAGAGCTCTGTTAAGAGATACTCTTAATAGGGAACTGGCTTGGAGCATAAGGGCTCTGAGTAAGAGAGATGCCAGGTTAGCGGTACAGATACTGACGGGTCATGGCACCTTAAACTACCACATGTACAAACTTGGGCGTAGCGATACATCCAGGTGCAGGGCATGTGGAGACGACGAGGAAACAAGCCTTCATGTACTCAGCGACTGTCCTGCACATGCAGGGCTGAGACACAAGATGCTGGGCTCAGCACTACTTGGGCCCGAGCAGATCAGGGAGCTGCCGGTGAGGGATCTAATTCTCTTTTGGAGGAAAACAGGTCTCTCATGAGTAAGTCTATGAGGGGAGGCACAATGGACAATGTCTGGGTGCCGCGGGCTTCGAAAGAGGAACGCCCCCCCGTTACGTTATGTTATGTTATGTTATGTTAAGACATCATACAATTCTCCATGAGTAAATTTTTTCTTTTGTGTTTCTTTAAATTTATTCTTAATATAAAGATAGAATTGTTTTAGTTCGATTAAACATTAAAATCTTGTAAATCATTCACGTACGCATTTACCAGATTTGTTACCGCTTTTTGGCATTTTTGGTCCGATAAATCAAGATCAATTAAAAATGAAAACTTTGTAGCTACATTTTGATAAACTTCTCCTCTTTTTCTCAATTGATTTATAAGGGTGTCAAGTATAATCAAAAACACCGTGACACGGAACTTTTCTCTAGGGGAAAATTGGGTTTCTGACGTGTTACCATCGTTCACTTTTTGTTTCCTAATTCGTTTTCTAGAATGAACCTCTTTATAATCGACATCAGGTAACATTTCTTTTGATTTACTTTCAAATTCATCAAATTTCTCTCTAAAATCCTCTAAAATTATTACCAATGATTGAATAAGGTCGGAGCAGGTTTTCAAGTCTAATTTTTCATTTTGAAGAGCTTTACTTGTTTTATGAAAGTGTTCCAAAATGTTGTTCCACAAAACTAACATAAAAACAAACTCAAACTCTTGCATTTTATTTAAAATATTTTGAGTTTCACGAATTGTCTGGCCCTTTTGAGAAATATCGTCGGCAATACTCTCTAATGCATCCAGTATTTTTGTATATGATTGTACAATAGCTTTTGTACGTATATGGTTTCGTTAATATCTTAAGTGCAAGTAACGAACATCGTTTTAAGATATTTGAGGTTTGCAAAGAAATTGCTTATTCATATAACAATCAACAGGTTCGATGAGATGGAGTGGTATCTGACGTATTTTAGAAGATGACTGCCTCGGTTTTCATCTTTTCCAGTTGTTTTTTATTTTAAAAAATATCTCACATTATCAATTAACGTGCGTACTAAATTTAGACTATATTGTTTTCTAATTATATGCGAAGTTTCAAATATTGTTGCGTTATCTAACATATTGATTTTGATTATTTGTACACTGAAGAAGGCCAAATACAATATTATAGCGGTAAAATTTCCCGCCACGTGATTATTTAGGCGGAATCCATATTAAATTCCGCTTGGCCAAAACTAGTGATTGGTCACAGCGGTCGTAGCTTTAAGCCCGTGTCACACTATGTATTGCGGACGCGGATCGGATTGGGATTGCGAATCACAAATCGAAATTCAGCCAATCAAGACGAAGCATAAGAGTCTTGATTGGCTAAATTCCGATCCGCGATCCGCAATCCTAATCCGTTCCGCGTCTGCAATACGTAGTGTGACACGGACTTTATCGCTATTTTTCACGGGCCGTTATCTCGATCATTCTGAATTCAACTGTTGTGGCAGTAATTAGTGCGAACAAAGAATATTATAATAGTAATTGAGATTCTGCAGGATTCGTAACTACGTACATCGCTTGCAGTAGACATCATCGAGGAGACACGTAAATATGGAAAGAATCAAATTAAAATCGTCTATGTCGCGAAAATTGCTGCACAATTTATCTGTAAGACAACGAAGTAGGGTTATGTTCGAAATAAAGAACCGTTTACGATATCGTTCAAAATACAATATTGCCGATGAAAATAATCGTAATGTTCAAAATATTTCTATTCCGTTGGTTACCGAATATGGCTTATTTACAAATAACAATGATACTTGTAATTATAAATGCAATGCAACTTCGGAAGATGATGGATCTTTTGTTTCTTGCTCTTCTTCTTCTTCTTCTTCTATCTTTGATGAGAGTGATGCAGTTGTATCATCTTTTATTGATACTTCGATTGAGCCATCTTTTCGCGAACGTTTAGCGTCTTGCTTCGTGGATAATAATCTAACGCATATCCAAGGTAACAGCATATTATCTCTTCTTCGAACACATCCCTGCTTTTCTACCTTGCCCAAAGTTGTAAGAACACTTCTTGATACATCACATACACGTGTTGTAGTTGCTGATGTAAAACCAGGAGAATATGTTCATTTTGATCTCGAAGCAGGGATTATTCAACATCTTTCACGATATTTCCATCGCATCTATTGTTAATTACTTAGAACTTGATTTCAATATAGATGGATGTACTTGAGATAAATCGGGTTGTATTCAAATTTGGCCCATTCAATGCAGAATTGTTAATGTACGGTGTGCAAGGCCAATAGTAGTAGGAGTTTATAAAGGTGCACATAAACCACGTGATCCTAATATTTTCTTGAAAGAATTTATTTCAGATATTACAAGAATCATGTCTAACGGAGGAATTAATTTCCGTGGCAATAAAGTGCCAATACGACTTAGATGTTTTATAGCTGATGCACCAGCTCGAGCTTTTATTCTTAATCATCGTAGTCATGTGTCTTCGCATCCTTGTTCCAAGTATAAAGTTTCTGGTATACGTTGTGAAGGTCGCAATATCTTTAATGGTACAAGTCATTCTCTTCGAACCGATGAGGAATATATCAGATGTGTGGACGAAGATCATCATAAAGAGGGTAACTGTCCATTATCAATGCTTCCCATGGGAATAGTTTCGTAGACACCTTTTAAGTATATGCATCTGGTGTGTTTGGGCGTCATGAAAAAAATTTTATCTGCATGGATATATGGAAAATACTCACGTTTGTCAAAACTATCAGGAAGATTAATTTCTATTATGTGTGCAAGACTTAATAATCTTAAAGAATATTGTCCGTCAGATTTTGCAAGACGCCCTAGATCTCTCGAAACGTGTTCTAAATATAAAGCGACAGAATTTCGTCAATTTTTGCTTTATACAGGACCAGTTGTAATGTATGGTGTATTGGACGAGAGATTGTACAAGCACTTTTTATTCTCACATGTGGCAATAAGAATCTTAGTTTCCAATTCATCATCAAGACAATACTTGAATTTTGCAGAGCTTGCGCTACAAAAAGTTTGTTCGAAGTGATTCTTTTTATGGTCCAACCTTCAATACTTATAATATCCATGGCTTGCTTCATCTTACCAACGACGTGAGACGTTTTGACACTTTAGATTCGTTTTCTGCATTTTCTTATAAAAATAACATGTCCATTTTTAGAAAATATTGTAGAAAACCGGGTTTACCTCTTCAACAATTCTTCAAAAGGATGACAGAGATTAAAATTCACGGAACAGTCGATACTCGTGTCATTGATTCGTCAATTGTTACGTGCCGCAACTTATAGTTTCTTAGATTACTCTTTTTATTCGAACCTTTGAACCTTTTTTTATCTTTACTCCTTCTTGATCCTAAACACATGACCCTTCGATAACTGCAATAAACATAAACGCTGTCCCTATGCCTAACGCATATTTTCCTTTTGACAAAACCGCCTCCTTCCAATAAACATTCCGCCGCTACGATTTTCCTACAGCACCTTAAACGAAGATCATTCTCGCCAGTTCAGTTCTCGATCAAAGCTCAAACCAGCAACACCGAATAAAGACTTTTTCCACAAACGCGTCCCGACTTATTCTAAATAATCTATTACGTAGCTATACGCTCGTAACAATTGGTGGCAGCGGTGGGATTGTTTGTGTGTAAAAGTGCGGAAATTTTTACTATAATTGAGCTGATTGCTGTTAATTAATATCAAGTGAAAGAAAGTTAGAGACCCGGAATTCGAGAAAAGTTCGTAGCCAAGCAAGACTATCAAGTAGAAGAACCGAGGTCAACCATAACTTGGTGCTATCCTGACGAAATTAACGGGAGCACATTTCGATCAACCTGCTGAGATCCTGTCTGTTAGCCGATAAAACCACGACGTGTAGTTTACAACCTACCCGAGGAAAAAGGCATCAGGACGCTCCTGGACGAGCACAGCAGCTAACGAAGGAAAAGGACAGCAACAACGAGACTCCGTGGACGGCCAGCACGAAAAAAGGTCAACCTTCATCATCATCTCATCTACGTCATCATCATCAATTCATCTATATCTACCAGCGGCGTGAAACCATCTCGTCATAGATATGCTGCGCATCGTACTTCTGTAAGTCTATGAATTTTGTAAACTTTAGAGACACTAAAGCGCATTATAATACAGACAGTTCGGAAAGTAGTTCGTCGATTAGTTATATTAGCGATAATAATTCTAAACATAATCACGTAATCTCAAATTTAGAAACAATCAATATGAACGATCGAACAGAAACGGTAGAGTCAGCGCGAGGCGTAGATCATTTTGGCACAAATCTAGAAAGTCGAAGATCCTCTACGAGTAACAGTAGCTATTTTCCCGTCCGTAATAGTTTATCGCTCATACCTGTTTTTAATGGAAAAAATATTCCAGTGACGCAATTTACAGCAGATTGTAAAGGAGTTAATGACTTAGTCGAGCCAGACGATAGGTTATTTTTCTTTAGATCGGTCTTACAAGTTAAATTAACGGGAGATGCCGCGTTAGTGAGAACAATCTATACAATAAATAATCTTGATGATTTATGCAAAGCATTAGAAAAGGAATTCGGAAATTCCAAAAGTTTTGACCATTGGGAAGTGGAAATTAATAAACTTCAGCAAAAAAGAAATGAATCCATTGAAGATTATGCTACTAGAACTAGAAAATTAAACTCTGAAATGATCCTTGCAATTTCTAATTACCCTGATCCAACTAGCAAGAGCAGGACTAAGAATCTTTGCAATGAATAAATTAATTACTCATTTCTTAGGCGGATTACACAATCAAACGGCACAACTTCTTTTATCACAAAAATTTAACACGTTAGACGACGCAATAGAAAGTGCAACTAGGTACATTACAACATCTAATTATCATTCAGAAAGATTTAGACAAAATAGATTCAACGATACATCGCGAATAACTTGTAATTACTGCAGGAAAATAGGACACACTGAAAACGAATGTAGGAAAAAACGTTACGATTCACAAAATGCCTCTCGTGAAAATCCAAATTCTTGGCAAAATAACCAATATAATAACGTCAGACGCGAGCAAAATTTTTGCGGAATAATAACCCGAACGGAAGCAGATTTAACAGTAACCAAAATTTTTCTAACACTAACTATCAATCCAACCGGTTTAATCAATCCAATCAATATAATCAATCGAATTATCAACGTAATAACAACTTATCTAACAACCTACCTAATAATTCAACTAATAATTCACATTTAAACTACCATGGCCAAGCGAAAAGCGCGCAACGTCAAGGCCAAATATCGAGTCGCGCACATCCGATTCAATCACTAGAACAAGAGCAAGAACATATACAATCAGAACAATCTCAAGGAATCTTATATCAATCCCATTCGAAGAACTTAGAAATTCAGGAGACAGATTCTTGTTAGATACAGGCGCTGATATTAACATCATTAAAGCTAACGCATTAGAGCGCGATACACTTGTGTATGTTGATGAAAAAGTAGAAATTCAAGGCATAATCGAAGAAAAGCAACAAACTCTCGGAACTGCATACTTACATTCAAATACGGGAGTTCACGAATTTCATGTAGTGCCCAGTAAATTCTCTTTGAAGGAACAAGGAATTATAGGTTCTACATATCTGCGTCAAGAAAACGCGAAAATTAACTTCAAAACGCGAACGGTAACAATTAGCAATAATCAAAGATACCCATTAGAATTTAGTAATCGAATAACGTTACCGAGTAGAAGTATTTG